TTGTAAAAAGAAAGAACTTCAGTTACTGCTGAGGGTATTCAGCACCAAAACATTTAAAAATTCTGCACACAGCATGGCAGTGGGTTTGACACCCAACCCCAGTCACTCCTTGGAGGGGAAGAAGTAGTCCTGTCTTCTCCAGCCCAGCTTTAGGCAACAAGCTTGACTCCAATTCAGGGTAGGAGTCACTGGCTGGGGTGTCGTTGGCCCCATGGTTAATTTATCTTTCCACCGGTGGCTCTAGGTGTTTGAAATGATGTACCAGCACTGCCCAAAAGTGGTGTGTGACTGTTCTTGCAGTTTCCCTTTACTTCCCTGTCAGAAAGTCAGTTTTCTGTAGGGAAGCAAAGAAATCTGCAGGGGACATGAATTCTGCATCTGAGCAGTGCTGTGGAATTCTCAGAGAAATATACAGAACAGCAGATAGGAATGTGTTTTCAGTTTTTTCTTAATTTTTTTTTTGTTGGGGTCATTTAATGTTAATACAGATAGACTGCAGGCTTTAGGGATTTGTAGGACTGCGCGTAGGGTTGCCAGGTGTCCAGTATTCTGCCGGACAGTCCGGTATTTGCGCTCTCTGTCTGGTAAAAAAAAATCAGAGACTACTGGGCATGTGCAATGCCCGGTATTCTCTGATTTTTCTGGCTTCACACCAGATGGAAGCCTGGCGTGGGCGGGGGGAGCAGCTAGAAGGCGGGGCCCACCATCGGCGCTAGGAGCCTGTGATTGCACAGAAGCCTGGTGGAGGCGGGGGGAGTGGTTGGGAGTCCCAGCCATTCCCCTTGCCCCCGCCAGGCTTCTATGCCATCACAGGCTCCCCTGAGAGGCGGGGCTGTGATCACTGCTCTGGGAGCTTCAGAAATCTACCCTCCCCCACAAGACTTCTGCGCAATCACAAGTTCTCCCCCCGCCCCTGCAAGGCTTCTGCGCAGTCACAGGCTCCCAGCGCTGATCGTGGCCCTGCCTCCCAGCTTGTGAGTCACAATCGTTGCTTATCCCATGTTCCTTCTTTTTTATTTTTTTTTATTTTGCTCGACTGGTATTTTTTGGGAGACCATCTAGCAACCAAAAATGGCCCTGACAATCTCAAACAACTGCAGGGTTGGCCTCATATGAAATTGGTCTTAGTGTGTGCCTTCATCTCCAATTGTAGTAATTGTGCTGCTAAGACTTTTTGGAAGTGACGTGTCTTGGGTAGAAGCCAGTGTTAACAGCTTGAAATGCTTTTCTGGTGAAGACTCAGTTATGCCTGAACCATGTTAATTTCATAGGCTTCATAAGCTCAGCCAGAGAAATGTTTGTGGTGCTTTGGAAACTTCAAATGACTCTGGATGCAGGATCTATAGTTGCTAAACTTTGTGACAAAACATCATTTTGGCCTCAGTTCAGCAAGGGTGGGTGTAATCGCAGTGAAATCACTGAGACTACACATGTGCATCAGGGCCTTGATGAATCATGGTCATTATGTGTGGTAGTGGTATGATTATGCCATTAGTCAGACCAAGTTGGTGCATGTTTGGTAAAGGATTTTTTAAAATATATCAATTTAATGTTTATCTGGCATATTTTTGTAGCTATCACAGCAAAAGTAGATCTCAGCTTTCAATGCTTTGAGCACCTGGATACCTACCATTGTAATTGCACTGCCTATAAAATATTATTTATTTTATCCAGTGATTTAAAATACACTGGTATCAACTCTAGTGCACTATGATTCCTGTGCCAGAGGAATGTTGTTGGGAATGTTTTCAATTCTGGATCAAAGCCAAGGAAACTGCTATACTCAGAGTCTGGAGGAGTGGCTTTGTTGGAAGAGTTGGTGTCCCCACCCTCCACCAAGGCTAGAAACAAATGTTTCATACCATTAGGAAAATAGGATTCAAGTCCTGTTGGTCCATGAAATATACTTTCTTGCATTATTTTATTCATCAAGAGAGAGACCACTAAAATTATGAACTAGGCTGGGTGTGGGAAGCAAGACTAGAAGCAGAATGATGTGCTTGTAAGGTCCCTTATCATGTGACCAGGCTGGGCTAACAAATTGGACAAGTAAACTGAAGAACAAATTCACCTTTATACAAGTTCACCTTTATACAAGGTTATACAATTCACCTTTATACAAGTAAACTGAAGAACAAATTCTTCCTTTATACTATCATAAAATAACAAAATCCACAAGCCAATGCCCCAATTCAGGAAAATATTCCTACTCAGGGCAGTACTTAACCACCCACTAAACTTTAGCAAACTGCCTAAGCCCCATTCAAGTTAGTATGACTTATTAAGCATATGTTTAAAGTTAAGCACATACGGTAGTTAAAAGATTAGTTATAGAAATGTAGCCGTGTTAGTCTGGTGTAGCTAAACAAAAAACAGGACTATGTAGCACTTTAAAGATGTCTTTAATAATGATGGTCTGCAGCACATGTATAAATGCTTTCCTGAATTAGGGCCCATCTACTAGACATGGATATCTTTTTTTATATATCATTGTCATCATAGTCAGAATGACTTTAAAGCAGACTGACATTTGCAGTTTGAAAACTTGAAAATTAAATCCCCTAAAGAGATACAAAATCAACTAACAGAAAGTTATCTGGCATGCTGGAAAATTACTGAAAGGAAATACTAGATTTAGTTTTACTGCTTTACCTGATTTATTAACCCTCTCGTAGCTGAATCAGCCTGCCTCTTAGAAGTGA